TCTCAAGGTGTTCCCAGGCCAGCTGAGAAACATAGTCCCTCCAGCGTGTCCTGGGTCTTCCTCTGGGCCTCCTCCCGGTGGGATGTGCCCGGAACACCTCACCAGGAAGGCATCCAGGAGGCATCCTAACCAGATGCCCGAGCCACCTCCACTGGCTTCTCTCGACGTGGAGGAGCAGCGACTCTACTCTGAGTCCCTCCCGGATGACCGAGCTTCTCAGCCTATCTCTAACGGAGAGCCCAGACACCCTGCAGAGGAAACTCATTTCAGCCGCTTGTATCCACAATCTCATTCTTTCGGTTACTACCCAAAGTCTGTGACCATAGATGAGGGTAGGAACGTAGACCGACCGGTAAACCGAGAGCTTCACCTTCTGGCTCAACTCCCGCTTCACCACGACAGACCGGTACAGCGCCCACATCACTGCAGACGCAGCACCAATCCGTCTGTCGATCTCCCGCTCCATTCTTCCCTCATTCGTGAACAAGACCCAGAGAACCTTAAACTCCTCCACTTGGGGCAGGACCTCCTCCCCGACCCGGAGGTGGCACGCTACCGGTTTCCAGCTCAAGACCATGGTCTCGGATTTGAAGGCACTTATCCCCATCCCGGCCACTTCACACTTAGCTGCGAACTGCTCCAGCGAGAGCTGGAGACCATGATCTGATGAAGCCAATAGGACCATATCATCCACAAAAAGCAGAGATTCAACTTAATGTCTTACCTTGAATGTGAAAAAAACACTGTTTATTGTTCCTCAAAAGCTTGATATTGGAAAAATCGCACTGATTTGTTTTTAAACTTGATGATTGTTGGTCAACACATTAAGCAGGTTTCAGAAGTTAAATATCTGGTCTTCTTGAAGATTCTCATTTAAATATTAAAAATGTGTTTTGCATGTTTTACAGGTTTGTAGTCATGAATAACTGTATTAAAAAGAAGAAATCCTCCAAACCCAGATCTTGTTTATTGGTTTTGAAGAATAGTTATAGAGAACTGGACATATAAGCCTTATCTTGATAGAATATATATATTCTAACTCTTTCACCTACATTACTATAGTCAACTTCTATTCAACAGCACAAAGCTGAAAGGACAAGAAGCATCACCACACTTGGTTTGTAAATGCATTTTGTTGGCCCTTTTAGCCCGCCCATCATCTGCTAAAATATTTGTGCAACAAAACCAATCTAAATGTTAAGCAGGTGTGCTACCTCACTCCTCCCCCTTCTTTCAGTTGCGCCCTCTYGTCTCATGTCTCGTTCCCTCTTTCACTAAATGTCCTTCTGTCTCCCTCACACCCCTCGTTCTCCCACACTTTCTTCACTGCCTCCCCTGACACTGGTGGAAACAGTGTGATGATGGGTAATTTAGTTCTAATCACAACATCAGACTTGTGCTGCGATTTACATCCCTCCACCAGCCGAGCCAGTCAGACAGTCAGGAGGGAGATGTTAATGTGAGACCGCAGGTAATTACTGTCATTACAGCATGCCTCACATTCTACCAGTCTGTGTGTGTGTTGGCTTGTGGCGAAGTGTGCAAATGTCTTTTGAGTGTGGRTGTTTTTTTTTGTTGTTGTTTTTGATTTTTACTTTTAGCTTCTTAAATGGCAGGACTTGATATGTTTGTATATACTTGTGTACCGACATTAGATTTTCAACATAGCTTCCTTCTCACGACATTAGGTTGATTTAAACAAAACAGAAATAATCTGATGCATTGGAGGATTCACAGTATTTATTCTGCTGCTGATAAATGAAATAACAATTGATGGCCTGGCTCAGTTCATCCTTCTAGATTGAATGATTTTCTTACTGTAATTTCATTGTTCCTACGACTTTGTTGTCACCGATTTGCGGAAATGCAAACRTTCTACAGTATATTCCAAATGCAATTTAAAACATAATTTTTTGATCACGTTACAACGTTTGACTTATTAGATCACTGAATTTTTCACAACTTAATTTCACACCCAATGATCACTGTCTTTTTGAGCAACAGCTGCATCATTTTGCAGGAACTTACAACATTGTGAAGATCAAAAAAAAAATGCTTGTCTGGCAGGTAAGTCTTCACAGTGCCTGTTTATGAAAGATTAAGATTTTTTTTCTTCTTTTTACACATAACTTTATACACTCACCGGCCACTTTATTAGGTACACCACGCTAGTAACRKGTTGGACCCCCTTTTGCCTTCAGAACTGCCTCAATTCTTCGTGGCATAGATTCAACAAGGTGCTGGAAGCATTCCTCAGAGATTTTGGTCCATATTGACATGATGGCATCACACAGTTGCCGCAGATTTGTCGGCTGTACATCCATGATGCGAATCTCTCGTTCCACCACATCCCAAAGATGCTCTATTGGATTGAGATCTGGTGACTGTGGAGGCCATTTGAGTMCAGTGAACTCATTGTCATGTTCAAGAAACCAGTCTGAGATGATTCCAGCTTTATGACATGGCGCATTATCCTGCTGAAAGTATCCATCAGATGTTGGGTACATTGTGGTCATAAAGGGATGGACATGGTCAGCAACAAGACTCAGGTAGGCTGTGGCATTGCAACGATGCTCAATTGGTACCAAGGGGCCCAAAGAGTGCCAAGAAAAGATTCCCCACACCATGACACCACCACCACCAGCCTGAACCGTTGATACAAGGCAAGATGGATCCATGCTTTCGTGTTGTTGACGCCAAATTCTGACCCTACCATCCGAATGTCGCAGCAGAAATCGAGACTCATCAGACCAGGCAACGTTTTTCCAATCTTCTCTTGTCCAATTTCGATGAGCTTGTGCAAATTGTAGCCTCAGTTTCCTGTTCTTAGCTGAAAGGAGTGGCACCCGGTGTGGTCTTCTGCTGCTGAAGCCCATCTGCCTCAAAGTTCGACGTACTGTGCTTTCAGAGATGCTCTTCTGCCTATCTCGGTTGTAACGGGTGGTTATTTGAGTCACTGTTGCCTTTCTATCAGCTCGAACCAGTCTGCGCATTCTCCTCTGACCTCTGGCATCAACAAGGCATTTCCGCCCACAGGACTGCCACTCACTGGATGTTTTTTCTTTTTCGGACCATTCTCTGTAAACCCTAGAGATGGTTGTGYGTGAAAATCCCAGTAGATCAGCAGTTTCTGAAATACTCAGACCAGCCCTTCTGGCACCAACAACCATGCCACGTTCAAAGGCACTCAAATCACCTTTCTTCCCCATACTGATGCTCGGTTTGAACTGCAGGAGATTGTCTTGACCATGTCTACATGCCTAAATGCACTGAGTTGCCGCCATGTGATTGGCTGATTAGAAATTAAGTGTTAACGAGCAGTTGGACAGGTGTACCTAATAAAGTGGCCGGTGAGTGTATAGCCTATTAACATTGCTATTGCATATTGTATTTTACTGGTGAGCTACGGGTGTATTGGATAAACTAGGCAGCACAAATAAAAGTAATTAGTTCATAACAAATTTCCACAAAAAGACAATAAAGAATTGTGTACTTTAAAGTTTTGTAATGTACCATATTTGAGCAATAAGGTAGTATACCACCAGACTTTAACTTGTTGGCGAGCAGTAAACGTGAGGGAAGTGAAGACTGAGAGACTATATGAACTTGGACTGTTGAGGAAACTGGAGACCAGGTGGCTTAATGACAACAGAGAACAGGTGGAAATGGGCAGCTGACTGAAACAAAGTGCAGAGAAATGACAGGAAGTGCAAGGAGGCACTGACAAAAAAAAAAAGACAAACAACTACAAAAATATCAGGAAATAAACATAATTAAACTGCAAAACTTTGAAAAAATACATTGAAAAATGTGGATTGTGGCTGTTATAAACAACTTTAAAAAACTGCCACGTGCTTAATGTGTTGTGTATCTGTATCAAGCTACTAATCTCTGTTCTAAACTATTTTTTGTAAAAAATCTTTTTATTTACTCGTCCTGTTTGTTTCTTCAAAGTGATTGCTACATATTTTAATGCTCGATTTGTTTTGTTCCTAATTCTCCATCTGCAGAATCAGTTAGTTTCATCTGAATGCATGGTCGTTTCCAGATACACCATCAGCCAAAAAATATGTTGTTATTTTTCTGGTATTAAAACTGCACCTGCAGGCATACGCGCAGAAACATTTGTTTGACGGCTGCAGTTGATGTTTTGACATTTAAGGCTATTCGTTTAACATGATTTTTTTTTGGACTTAAATTATGGCCCACATGAAACTTTTTCCCATGTTTGTCCCAGTCTTTGTGGAAAGATGGTGTGGTGTATCAAGGTGTTTCTGTGGCGATAAGGGTAATATGTCAGGGTCCCTGGAGTTTAGGCCTGGAAGGGTCCTGAGTGATAAGCAGAATGGAAACGTCAGCAGTTTGGCCACTGCCATCCAGTCCATGTTTTCACCCCCTCCCCTCCTCCCCTCCCCCACAACACATACATCTTTTTATTTCTCCAATCTCATCTTTCGCTCCCTCCCATCCTCCGTCTTTTCTCCCTCCTGCTGAATGCCTCACCTTGCTATTTATACCTGCGTCTGTAAATGCCATCTCTTTCATCCTCCATTATTCTCCATTTACCCAATTTCCCCTAATGTTTCTATTATACCTTGTTTTTGACATTTATGTCCACCTTTTCTTCGCCTCCCCACAATTAGAGCTTCACTTATCCCCCATTTTTTTACATCTCTTTAATCACACCTTTGCCCCCTTAAACTCACATTYGGTGATGAATATGAAATGCATGTGTGCTTGAGCGTACGTGTGTATAGAGCAGGAATAATAAAATGTTTTAGGGTAATGATTGTTGGTAATATTTGTATGAGGATTGCTTTTTCTTTTACTTTTGAAGCTTTAGTTAAAGAAACATGTTTAAATTCAGGCAGCAAATGAGCATCAGTGAGCAGCAACAAGATTGCAAAACTGTATAATCAGAGGGAAAGTGAAAATTTCACCAAACATCATTTTGTAACGTTATTTACTGATAATACTCAACTGTTTTTTTTTTTTTACAGGTTGCTACTCTTCAATCAGAGCTGGAGGCAACAGGACTCAACAATATAAATATTTGCAAGGAGAGCAATTTGGTTCTGACAAATCTTCACCTTTGGATCTCTGAACAAAGGTATAAATGTTCCCTGTACACTTATTATATTTTTATCCAAGTACTTACAAATAACTCAAAGAAGAATGAAATAATGGTGTTAAGATGAATTGTCTGTGTTACATATTTGCGTCTGCAGGGTTCCTGCAGATCCTTAAAAAGTCTTAAAAGTCATTGAATTCATAAATCCAAAAATAAGACCTTAATTAGCCTTAAAATGTCTTAAATCAATCTTTCAGACATCTTAAAAATGTTAACACATCGTAAATAGGATGATTGTAATTCATCTCAAATATTAAAATAATCGGTAACATTAATTTTTTTTTAATATTCACATGCAGACTTTCCCTTTTGACATCACTTCTTGTTACTTCACATGCAAATATCTCAACTGTTCATCTGAGCAATGTGAAATTTGTTTTGTAATATGTTAACAATCTTGTCTTTCCAAAAACGCATTCACTTTTCTTACAAACATTGATGTCATAGGCACTTTAAGGTTTTATCTACAGCAAGTTGGGGTTAAGACCCCACTGTGGATCCTAAAACTCTAAATCTTGTGTCGTTAAACTGACTGCTAAGAATGTTTTTGCTATATTTAATGAAAAAGCAGTTAGATATGGATAAAAACAATTGGTCTATTAGCTAAATATTTGAATACTTCAACCAAAAATACTTTGCTGCTACAGTTTATTTATTTATTTATTTATTTATTTATTTATTTATTTATTTATTTATTTTCAGTTGTGTTTATTATGAAATTGGTCTTGAATTTAATTTCACTGGGCATTAAAAAGTCTTCAAAAGTCTTAAATTTAACTTGCTTTAAACTGTAGGGAACCCAGAGTGTTCCAAAGTTTCTGCATCATGTAACTGAGAAGCATAAGGACACACACACCTACGGGTGTGACATGGTCCTCTTTGTGGAGATAAAAGCAGTCCAGCCAGGTTCTGTGCAAATCAGTAACAGGAGAATCCTAACAGTGGTTGTGTGCAAATTCAGGGGCAGGTCCTTCCAAGGACCTGGCCTACCCGGTCTAGGTGGACCAGGTCCTTAGCCATGAAGTCCTGAAAAAAAGTGGCTGTGAATTACTGGTCCGGCCTTCTGCTTTATCCCCACCTTTATCCCTGGCTTATGTCCTGTCACCTACCAATCTAACTAGTGCTGTACCAAACGATTATTTTCTAATCGATTAATCTAACAATTATTTCTTTGATTAATCGATTATTCTAACAACAAATCTAWAAGTTATTCTGATGTGAGTGCACTGGATATTTAATATGTTTTCATCATATTAACAAGAACAGTTCTTTAATATTGTAATATTTTCTTTAATAGTTTTTTCATGGACACAAAATATGCACTCTACTGTCAATTCTTCAACAAAAAAAGCTTAAAAGATTTAACATCAATATAAAATTCAACTAAAAGAAATATAGTACAAGATGTTAACAATCTCACAAATGAACTAAATCATACAAAATTCAAGTCACTCTCAGGAAAACCTATAATAAACATTTATTTATTATTTTTTATTTAATATATTTCTAATGTATAAAATTTAACAAATATCAAGACAACATCCAACTCTTTGTATTGTAACATCAGTTGTGTAACTTATTTCTTTAAGSTGAAAACTGTTGAAAACAACAAGACTGTTTTGTCTTATTGCACAAATTAAAATCCAGCTCCACATATTACTATTGATGTCATTTCCCCGCTAGAAAAATGTGTGATGGAGGTCCATGGAAGGCAAATAAGTTTAAATCAAATAAACAAAAGAGGATGCAGTTAAAATTAATAAAAGGTATTTAAGATACGTTTTGAACATCCAGAACACGTCCAACACTTGTTGGCTGCTTGTGCTCTTTAGGTCAGACGTGTGTCGGGAAGCTCCTCTGTTGTTTGAGACGCTGGGGGAACCGTCTGATGGAGGAACCGTCTGCTGGGGGAACGTGGCTCGACCTAACACCGGTCTCTGTTTAATGGTGGATGAAATTAAAAAAAAAGTGGTGGTACTTTATTTACTTTGAGCAAGCGAACGTCGTGCTCACAAGATAATTAATCCACCAGATAATTCAGAGGCGGTCTGTTTGGTAAATTTTACTCCAGGAGCTGCGAGGCTTGTTTTCAAGCTTCAGACTGAACTGAAGCAGCGGCTGCTGACGTCATTACGATCTTGAGCGATGCTGCRTTCAGRACAAGCATGGAAAACTCACCACTCTTCTGCCAATACGGTCGCAATGATGCATTTAGGTACCGAAATGGAATTGCATGAACATTCACATGGTGTTCATACAGTGAATCGTTAATAAAAAATCTGCGTCAACAAATTTACATAATCGACGTCATCGATTATTTCAACTAATCGCTGCAGCCCTAAATCCAACCCATTCTCACTCCCAAGTTGTCACATATTGACGCTTTCCCAAGGTTCCCTCTGCGTCCAGTTTTGATGCGTCGGGTACCTTCCTCACGTCAGTTATTGACGAGATGGGGCGGAATACGTTGTCATAATTTCAGAACATGTAGAAAATTCATCAAAACTGCCGTCCCAAAGCCTAAAATTAACTTTATTCACTCTAGACATGCTGTCCCTGACCCTAGTACCTAAAATAAGGTAAAATAAGGTGAATAAAATAAATAAAATAAAATTAACCATCAACCCTGATACCTAAAATTAACCGTTTTTAGAAATCAGAATAAGACTCGTTTGTCATTCACACACAACATCAAGATGCAGTGCAGAACGAAATTTGCAGTTTAGAACATCGGTCCGGAGAAACACACACACATGACAAACATGGGGGAACAAATGTCCAGGGTCTTTCGCAACTTAGTGCGCTACCTTTGCAGTTTAGAATGCACACACACAATAGGAGAGGTGAGCTTAGAAAGAGCTTCGATCCTGTGTTTTATATAGAAACACACAATCATACGCTCAAAAAAACTACTCTGCATAGAGCAAGACAGCTAAGGAGGGGAGGGTGGTGGGGGGTCAAAACACATGGTATGGGGGAGGGATGCAGCGGAGCCGGTGACTTCCAAGGCAGACTTCGTGCTGGAACCGATCAGAGACCTCCAGAGNCACACACATAGGAAGGGTGAGCTAAAAAAGAGCTTTGATCCTGTGTTTTATACAGAAAACACACAAACATACACTCAAAAAACTACTCTGCATACAGTGCAGTCAGCTAAGGAGGGGAGTGGGGCGGGGGGTCATATGGTATGGGGAAGGATTCAGCAGAGCCGGTGACATCCAGGGTAGTACTCCGTGTTGGAACCGATCAGAAGACCTCCAGACGCGGTCTTCAGACCAATCCAAGCACAGGTGAAGCAGGTAGGTATGGGGGGGTGGGGGGTTCAGCGGAAGTGGTGACATCCAGGGTAGTACTCCGTGTTGGAACCAATCAGAAGACCTCCAGAGTCCAAACAGAGTAAGTAMTCTAAAGTAGTAGAGGGAGATAAATTGTAGGAAATTCACRTGAGCTACATGTTCCAAAGCCTAAAATTACATAATATTCGCCATAGACATCCTATCCCTGACCCCAGTACCTAAAACTAACCAGTAACCCTGATCCCTAACATTAACCACAGACCCCAACTCAAAGATCCCTATATTTTGCGTCCCAACACATCAAACCTGGACACCGAGGTAACCCGGAAATGCCTGGTGCGTCAAAAACTGACGTGACGGGTGTACCTGACGCGTCAAAATATGACGCAGAGGGTATCTTGGAAAAGCGTCAATATGTGACAAGTCGGGAGTGAGAATGTGTTAAGCAATCGTGACGACACTAAACTAGCAAAAATTTGCAAAATATATTTATCACAAAACAAATTGGCTTTAAGGCAGTATTTGAAGAACTAAGTGATTCGTAGATGCACGTTTATTTTGCTATACCAGCTCATTTAATTTTTGACAATAATAATAATAAAAAAAACATATCGACACAAGTGACAAAAACATTAACAACACAATTGCCAGATAGTTATTTAAAACTGGACTTATTTCTCTCGCTTCATCCGCCCTTATGAGCAGAAAAAAAATCCCCCGGTTGGCCCGCCATGCTTATGGAATATGGTGGCCCAAGAAGGATCCATCGAACCCGTCCCTCAAATGGGCGTAAAATGACGCGTTTATTGGCCGCATCGGAGGAGTCCTCGAACTTGGACAGCCTCTGGCACGGTGCTGTGACCGATTCGGCCTTCGGCGGACGCAGGCTCTGAATTTGGACATAGCCAGGGTCTGCTTTTAGAATTTCGTGATGTAAAACACTGCAGTTATTGGAGTCTTTGTGCAACTGCAACACCAAAGTTAGATCTCACACTTCTTTAAATTCTCTCACACTTCATTTTGGAGGAAAACTGTGCAGTCATTATAAAATTTAACATCAGAAAATGTTTACCTTCTCATCAATAAGTTAAACAACCGCAGATTTAATAATAGTTCTGGATTAAAATACTTCAAAGGAGCACAAAGTAAGTGTTTAATGGATGTGGAAAAGGGGATTTTAACATGGAAAGCGAGAATATTTGAGTGTTTTCTGTGTGCCAGACATAATAACTGAACTACTAGTTAAAGGCCGCTCTGGAACAAAACAATCCCCGGCGCTGTTGCTGTTGTGCGGCAGAATTTGGTGCCTGCCATGTTAACAGAACCCTCTTGATGATCACGCGTGTCTGTAGTACACTGCAGCTCTGTGTATATTCCTCTGTTTAACTCTGTCACTGCAATTCTTTCCCCTTTGTTAGACATCTCCTGGAAGCTAATGACACGTTGAAGGCGGAGATGGGGAGACTCAAAGAGGTGGAGGATGAGAGGGAGCGAGACCTGGAACGCTTCAAGGTGAACAAGTGCAGAGCGGAAGAGCAAAGATCTACAAATCARGAGAGACGAAGAAGAGTCAGTCACAAACGGGCCTGTTTTTTTTTCTTGTTGTTTTTGTAATTGTTTGCAGGCTCAGATCCGAGACCGGGGCATCGAGGAAGACAGGAGAACGTGAGTCATCTACATAAACGTGCTCCCTGTGTTATGTGTGTAAGGAAGAGTAAGTAAGTACGCGAGCGCATACATTTGTGTGCCTTCGGCAGCTGATCAAATTTAGGCATTCACATCCAACAAAAGCGTTGCCCACCACGTTTCGCTCTCTCATACACAATCTAGCCCGAACAAAGCTGATGATGATAATAACAGCAGGACTGGCAAGTTGTGAATGAAACACCCCATGGGCCTGGGCCACCTGTGTGTGTATGTGCGCGTGTGTGCTTGCTATGTTTCTTCTTCAATCTGAATGTGTTACTCATGCTGGGCATTTAACAATGATTACACTCCAATCAAGTGCCTATCCTCTTCTGCTTGCCACCCCTATGGCTGTCAAACAGCATTCATCAATGGAGAGGAGACATATTTATTATGCTCATTAAGGCAATGAAAACGAAAGTTGCACAGATGGGATTGGGTGWGTAGGATGGAAGTGAGAAAGGAGGGTGGGCACGTGGAGGAGAGGGTGTTTGTGCGGGCACCTGCCTGGAGCAGTGTTCTTCCTACCCC